CCCCTTTGGCCCCCCCCCATTGCCACAATCAACGACCCATAAGTGCTGCGACCCCCCCCAAACCATTGAGACACCCCCCCTCTTGGGGGATGACGTCATGACGTCGTGACGTCACCGGGACACACCCCCCCCACCCCCCCTTTTTGTGATTGATTTTTTTCTTGCTCTTCTTTTTGTATTTTTTTGTATTTTTGGGGAATTTTTGATGTCGAAATAAAGGGGAAAAAAGTGAAAAATGGGAATTGGCCCCCCCCGGACCCGAAACCCCCCAAAAGCACCCCAAAAACCCGGCCCCCCCCCCCCCCCCCGCCCCGCAGCGCAATGGGCTCACCCTGAGCACCCCCATGGGGCAATGGAAGCGCCCGAGGGGGCGGGGCCTAACCCGCGGGCATTGAGGGCTGATGGGCCATTAACCAGTAATTAATGAGCTATTAACGGGGAATTAATGAGCTATTGACCGCTAATTAATGAGCTGTGAACTGGCAAATGATGAGACATTGAAAATCAATGAGCTATAACCCGCTAATTAATGAGTTATTAACCAGTAATTAATGAGCTATTAACAGGTAATTAATGAGCTATTAACCGCTAATTAATAAGCTGTGAACTGGCAAATAATGAGACATTGACTGCTAAGTAATGAGCTATTACCTGCTAATTAATGAACCATAAACCGATAATTAATGACCCATGGACCGTTATTACCAGCTAATTAATGCGCTATTAACCGATAATTAATGAGCCATTGGCCACTAATTAATGAGCCATTACCCGCTAATTAGCGAGTTATTAGCCAGTAATTAGCTACTGACCGCTAAATCATGACCCATTAGCCAGTAATTAATGGGCCATTGACCGCTAATTAATGAGCTATTAACGGCTACTGAATGAACTATTAACCGCTAATTAACGAGTTACTGACCGCAAAGTAAAGAGCCATTAGCCGCTCATTAACGAGCCATCAATCGATAATTAAAGAGCCATTAACCGCTAATTCATGAGCTATTAACAGCTAGTTAATGAGACATTACCCGCTAATTAACGAGCTATTAACCGGTAATTAGTGCGCTATCAAAAGGTAATTAATGAATGATTGCCCACTAATAAATATCTTAATAAGAAAAAAATCCTTAATTAACGGTCCATTGCCCGCCAATTAATGTTACCAGGCGCTAATTAGCTATTAAGTGCTTATTAATGAGCTCTTAAGGGATAATTAATGATCTGTGAATGCTGAACTGTTAATAAGCTATTAGCGGCTAGTTAATGAGCTATGAACAACTAAATAATGTTTTATTAGTGGCTAATGTTCATTAATCGCTTACTAATGCCCTGTTAACTCTAATTCATACTCCATTAATCGCTAATTAATGCCCTATTTATCTCCAATTAATACTCCATTAATAGCTAAGTTATGCCCTGTTCTCTGTTGCCCTATTAATCTCTAATTAATGGCTAATAAATACTCCATTAATCGCTAATTAATCTATATTTAATGGTCCATTAATGTCTAATTAATTCTCCATTAATCTCTAATTAATGGCCCATTAATCTTTAATTGCATATTAATCTCTAATCAATTATCTATTAATCTCTAATTAATTACCTATTAATCTCTAATTTCTCATTAATCTAATTCTCTATTAATCTCTAATTTTTTCTCCATTGATCTCTAATTAATTCTCTATTAATCTCTAATTGATTCCCCATCAATCTCTAATTGATTCCCTATTAATCTGTAATTGATCCCCTATTAATCTGTAATTAATTCCCCATTAATCTCTAATTCCCGATTAATCTCGAATTAATTCCCGATTAATCTCTAATTAATTCTCCATTAATCTGTAATTAATTCCCTATTAATCTCTAATTCCTCGTTAATCTAACTAATTCTCTATTAATCTCTAATTTTTTCTCCATTGCTCTCTTAATTAATTCCTGATTAATCTCTTATTAATTCCCCGTTAATCTCTGATTAATTCCCCGTTAATCTCTAATCAATGCCCTATCAATCTCTAATTACTGCCCCATTAACCGCTAATTAACCCCCAATTAACGCCGCTGGCTCTCACCTCCTGCCCCCCCCCCCGCCCCCCGTCACGTGCCCCCCCGTGGCCCCGCCCCCTCCGCTCATCCCCATTCATCCCCTGCGCTCCCGCCGCGCGCTCCCGCTCCAGGTACCGGGGGGGGGGGGGGGGGGGGGGGGGAGCTCCCGGTACCGGTCCCGCTCCGGGGGGAGGGGGAGGGGGTGGGGGAGGGGGTGGTCCCGGCCATGCCCCCCCTCGCGCTGCTGCTGCTGCTGGGGGGGGGAGGGGGCCTCGTGCTGAGCACCCCGCCCCTCCCCCCGCGCTTCCTCTGCACCCCGCTCCCCGCCGAGCACGCGTGCGCGGGGGGGGGAGGGGACCCCGGCCCCTACCGAGACCCCCCCGGGGGGGAGGGGGAGGGGGGCGGCTCCGGGGACCCCCTCGGCGCCGTCCTGCGCCTGCGCGAGGCGCTCGTGCGCCAGCGGGAGGTGGCGCTGGAGCTCGCGGCCAAATTGGGGAGGTGCGAGGCGGAGAGGGGGGGGAGGGGCGGGGGGGAGGGGGGGGGGGACCCGGACCCCCGCCCCCACCAGGAGGAAGAGGAGGAGGAGGAGGAGGGGGCGCAGCGAGCGCTCGAGGGGCTGAGGCAGCGCCTGAGGCAGCTGCAGGTAATGGGGGGGATGGGGGGCAATGGGGGGGATGGGGTAATAGGGGGGCAATGGGGGTAATGGGGTGATGGGGGTAATGGGGGAGATGGGGGGAGATGGGGGGTAATGGGGTCTATGTGGCTGGCCTCCATGGGGTGTATTATCCTTGTGCCCTTCCCCCACACTGACCTTCCCCTCCCCCCACCTCCCCTCCCCCCTTCTCGGCCTCTGCTTGACCGCGGGGGGGGAGGGGCGGATTAACGGCTTAATGATATCCGGGGAGGGGGGGAGGGGTAAGGGTGAGATGGGGGATGGGGACCTATGGGGGTAGATGGGGTCTATGGGGCGGGCTATGGGGGTCCATGGGGTGCTATGGGGCAGGTTATGGGGTTCTATGGGTTGTCTGGGGGGTCTGGCGGGTTCCATGGGGTGGGCCATGGGTTTCTATGGGGCAGCCGTGGGTCAGTGTCCGGTCCCGGCAGGGCCGCAACGCCTCGGGGCTGCGGGAGGCGCTGCAGAAGAAGATCCGGGTGCTGGAGCTGCAGCTGCATCCCCATGGCAACGGCACCGGTCCCCATGGCAACGGCCACCACGGCGACCACCCCCACAAGCAGCATCCCCATGGCAGCCCCCACGGCGGCCATCACCATGGTGACCACCACGGGCACCACGGCAAGGCCGGGGACCACGGCATCCTCCATAGCAACCACCACGAGGGTCTCCATGGCAACCACCACGGTCACCACGGCGACCACAGCAAGGCCGGGGACCACGGCATCCTCCATAGCAACCACCACGAGGGTCTCCATGGCAACCACCACGGTCACCACGGCGACCACAGCAAGGCCGGGGACCACGGCATCCTCCATAGCAACCACCACGAGGGTCTCCATGGCAACCACCACGGTCACCATGGCGACCACAGCAAAGCCGGGGATCATGGCAACCACCACAGCATCCTCCATAGTAATCACCACGAGGGTCTCCATGGCAACCACCACGGTCACCACGGCGACCACAGCAAGGCCGGGGACCACAGTAACCACCACGAGGGTCTCCATAGCAACCACCACGGTCACCATGGCGACCACAGCAAGGCCGGGGACCACGGCATCCTCCATAGCAACCACCACGGTCACCATGGCGACCATAGCAAGGCTGGGGACCACAGCAACCACCACAGCATCCTCCATAGCAACCACCACGAGGGTCTCCATAGCAACCACGACAGTCACCACGGCGACCACAGCAAGGCCGGGGACCACGGCATCCTCCATAGCAACCACCACGGTCACCATGGCGACCACAGCAAGGCCGGGGACCACAGCAACCACCACAGCATCCTCCATAGCAACCACCACAAGGGTCTCCATAGCAACCACGACAGTCACCACGGCGACCACAGCAAGGCCGGGGACCACGGCATCCTCCATAGCAACCACCACGGTCACCATGGCGACCACAGCAAGGCCGGGGACCACGGCATCCTCCATAGCAACCACCACAGTCACCATGGCGACCACAGCAAGGCCGGGGACCACAGCAACCACCACAGCATCCTCCATAGCAACCACCACAAGGGTCTCCATAGCAACCACGACAGTCACCACGGCGACCACAGCAAGGCCGGGGACCACGGCATCCTCCATAGCAACCACCACGGTCACCATGGCGACCACAGCAAGGCCGGGGACCACAGTAACCACCACGAGGGTCTCCATAGCAACCACCACGGTCACCATGGCGACCATAGCAAAGCCGGGGACCACGGCAACCACCACAGCATCCTCCATAGCAACCACCACGAGGGTCTCCATGGCAACCACCACGGTCACCACGGCGACCACAGCAAGGCCGGGGACCACAGCAGCCACCACAGCATCCTCTACAGCAACCACCACGGTCACCATGGAGACCATGAGAAGCACAGCAGCCACCACGAGGGTCTCCATGGCAACCACCACGGTGACCACGGCGACCACAGCAAGGCCGGGGACTACAGCAACCACCACAGCATCCTCCATAGCAACCACCACGAGGGTCTCCATGGCAACCACCACAGTCACCACGGCGACCACAGCAAGGCCGGGGACCACGGCATCCTCCATAGCAACCACCACGAGGGTCTCCATGGCAACCACCACGGTCACCACGGCGACCACAGCAAGGCCGGGGACCATGGCATCCTCCATAGCAATCACCACGAGGGTCTCCATGGCAACCACCACGAGGGTCTCCATGGCAACCACCACGGTCACCACGGCGACCACAGCAAGGCCGGGGACGCCCTCCATAGCAACCAGCCTGGGCGCCATGGCGACCACGCCGATCACCACGGCAACCACAGCAAGGCCGCTGAGCATCACCAGCACCCCCCGCACAGCCTCCTCCATAGCAACCACTACGGTCGCCATGGCAACCAGCATCCCCTGCCCCACAGCAAGCACAGCAACAACCCCTTCGAGGAGGCCCATGGCGACCGGGCCGGGTACCCCCATGGCAACCACTACGGGAACCACGGCAACCACCACCAGGAGCATCCCTGGCGCCGTCTCCATGGCGACCGCCAGGACCACGAGGAGGAGGAGGACCACGACGACCCCGAGGACCACGGGGACCCCCAGGACGAGGACAAAGGTGAGGGGAGGGGGGGGGCCCAAGGATGGGGACCCCCATGGGTGGGGCCCCGATTGATGGGGACCCCAGGGCCCAGGCTTTGAGGGCCCCCATTAATGCGCCCCCTCCATCGCCCCATGCCCCCCATTGCCTGCATTGCCCCTGTTCCCCCATTCCACCCCATTGACCCCATTCCCATTGCCCCCATTGCCCCATTGCCCCCATTGCTCCATTACCCCCCATTGACCCATTCCCCCCTCATCACCCCCCATTTCCCCCATTCCCCCCTTCCCCATTCCCCCCATCCCCCCATTACCCTCAATTTCCCCCCATTGATCCCCATTACCCCTCCATCTTCCCCCATCTCCCTCCATTACCCCCATCCCCCCATCTCCCCCCATTACCCCCCATTGATCCCCATCTCCCCCCCATCCCCCAACCCCCCATTACCCCATCTCCCCCCCATGTCTCCCCTATCTCCCCCTCATCCGCCATCTCCCCCCCTGTATCTCTCCCTGCATGTCCCCCCATCTCCCCCCACATCTCCCCCCATCTCCCCCCCTCCCCCCATCTCCCCCCCATCTCCCCCCATCTCCCCCCCATCTCCCCCCATCTCCCCCCATCTCCCCCCATATCTCCCCCATATCTCCCCCCATCTCCCCCCCATCTCCCCCCATCTCTCCCCATCTCCCCCCATCTCCCCCCCGTATCTCTCCCCCTTCTCTCCTTATCTCTCCCCCCATCTCCCCCATGTCCCCCCATCTCCCCCCGTCTCCCCCCATCTCTCCCCCCATCTCTCCCCCCACCTCCCCATCTCCCCCCATCTCTCCCCCCATCTCCCCCCATCTCCCCCCCATATCTCCCCCCCATCTCCCCCCCATCTCCCCCCCGTATCTCTCCCCCCTTCCCCCTCCTTATCTCTCCCCCATCTCCCCCCATGTCCCCCCCATCTCCTCCATCTCCCCCCTGTATCTCTCCCCCCATCTCCCCCCACATCTCCCCCCATCTCCCCCTGTATCTCTCCTTCCATCTCCCCCATCTCCCCCCTCCATCTCCCCCCCCTCTCCCCCCATCTCTCCCCCATCTCCCCCCCCGTCTCCGGGGCCCCATCTCCCTCTCCCGGTCTCTGCGTGCGTCTCCCCCACGCCGCGGCGCTCCCCCCATCCCACCTCCCCCCCATCTCGCGCTCCCCACCTGGAGCTCTCCCATCTCTCCACATGAGGGGGGGGCGAACCTGGAGCTCGTCATCAATCAGGGTGAGGGGGGGGGCGGACCTCCCCCATCATCAGGTCCCCATCAATGAGCAGGTGCTCCCCCTTGCCCCCCCCAGCCCCCTCCTCCTCCTCTTTCCTTCTCTCCTTCCCTCCGCTCCCGTTCCTCCCGTTCGCGGTGGCGCGGGGCCCGCTGCTGCGGCGCCCCCTGCCGGCGGTGTCTGCGTGCGTGTGGCTGCGGCCGGCAGGGGGCGCCGCGGCGCTGGGGGCGCCCTTCTCGTACGCGGCTCCCGGGCAGCCCAAAGAGCTCGCGCTGAGGCCGGGGGGGCGGAGCCTGGAGCTCGTCATCAATGAGCAGGTGAGGGGGGGTGGGGGGATGGAGCTCGTCATCAATGAGCAGGTGAGGGGGGGGCGGAGCCTGGAGCTCGTCATCAATGAATGAGCAGGTGAGGGGGGGGGCGGAGCCTGGAGCTCGTCATCAATGAGCAGGTGAGGGGGGGGGCGGAGCAGGTGAGGGGGGGGGGGAGCCTGGAGCTCTGAGGGGGGGCGGAGCCTGGAGCTCGTCATCAATGAGCAGGTGAGGGGGGGGCGGAGCCTGGAGCTCGTCATCAATGAGCAGGTGAGGGGGGGGGCGGAGCCTGGAGCTCGTCATCAATGAGCAGGTGAGGGGGGGCGGAGCCTGGAGCTCGGAGCAGGTGAGGGGGGGGCGGAGTCATCAATGAGCAGGTGAGGGGGGGGCGGAGCCTGGAGCTCGTCATCAATGAGCAGGTGAGGGGGGGTGGGGGGCGGAGCCTGGAGCTCGTCATCAATGAGCAGGTGAGGGGGGGGCGGAGCCTGGAGCTCGTCATCAATGAGCAGGTGAGGGGGGGGGCGGAGCCTGGAGCTCGTCATCAATGAGCAGGTGAGGGGGGGGCGGAGCCTGGAGCTCGTCATCAATGAGCAGGTGAGGGGGGGTGGGGGGCGGAGCCTGGAGCTCGTCATCAATGAGCAGGTGAGGGGGGGTGTGGGGCGGAGCCTGGAGCTCGTCATCAATGAGCAGGTGAGGGGGGGGCGGAGCCTGGAGCTCGTCATCAATGAGCAGGTGAGGGGGGGGCGGAGCCTGGAGCTCGTCATCAATGAGCAGGTGAGGGGGGGGCGGAGCCTGGAGCTCGTCATCAATGAGCAGGTGAGGGGGGGGGGCGGAGCCTGGAGCTCGTCATCAATGAGCAGGTGAGGGGGGGGGGGAGCCTGGAGCTCGTCATCAATGAGCAGGTGAGGGGGGGGCGGAGCCTGGAGCTCGTCATCAATGAGCAGGTGAGGGGGGGGGGAGCCTGGAGCTCGTCATCAATGAGCAGGTGAGGGGGGGGGCGGAGCCTGGAGCTCGTCATCAATGAGCAGGTGAGGGGGGGGGAGCCTGGAGCTCGTCATCAATGAGCAGGTGAGGGAGCTCGTCATCAATGAGCAGGTGAGGGGGGGGGCGGTGCCTGGAGCACGTCATCAATGAGCAGGTGAGGGGGGGGGGAGCCTGGAGCTCGTCATCAATGAGCAGGTGAGGGGGGGGGCGGAGCATGGAGCTCGTCATCAATGAGCAGGTGAGGGGGGGGCGGAGCCTGGAGCTCGTCATCAATGAGCAGGTGAGGGGGGGGCGGAGCCTGGAGCTCGTCATCAAGCAGGTGAGCAGGTGAGGGGAGCAGGTGAGGGGGGGTGGGGGGCGGAGCCTGGAGCTCGTCATCAATGAGCAGGTGAGGGGGGGGCGGAGCCTGGAGCTCGTCATCAATGAGCAGGTGAGGGGGGGGCGGAGCCTGGAGCTCGTCAGCAATGAGCAGGTGAGGGGGGGTGGGGGGCGGAGCCTGGAGCTCGTCATCAATGAGCAGGTGAGGGGGGGTGGGGGGCGGAGCCTCGTCATCAATGAGCAGGTGAGGGGGGGCGGAGCCTCTCGTCATCAATGAGCAGGTGAGGGGGGGCGGAGCCTGGAGCTCGTCATCAATGAGCAGGTGAGGGGGGGGGCGGAGCCTGGAGCTCGTCAGGCAGGTGAGGGGGGGGGGCGGAGCCTGGAGGTCATCAATGAGCAGGTGAGGGGGGGGTGGGGCGGAGCCTGGAGCTCGTCATCAATGAGCAGGTGAGGGGGGTGGGGGGCGGAGCCTGGAGCTCGTCATCAATGAGCAGGTGAGGGGGGGGGCGGAGCTCATCAATGAGCAGGTGAGGGGGGGGCGGAGCCTGGAGCTCGTCATCAATGAGCAGGTGAGGGGGGAGCAGGTGAGGGGGGGGGCGGAGCCTGGAGCTCGTCATCAATGAGCAGGTGAGGGGGGGGCGGAGCCAGGTGGAGCTCGTCATCAATGAGCAGGTGAGGGGGGAGCAGGTGAGGGGGGGGGCGGAGCCTGGAGCTCGTCATCAATGAGCAGGTGAGGGGGGGGGGGGGCGGAGCCTGGAGCTCGTCATCAATGAGCAGGTGAGGGGGGGTGGGGGGCGGAGCCTGGAGCTCGTCATCAATGAGCAGGTGAGGGGGGGGGCGGAGCCTGAGGGCAGGTGAGGGGGGGGCGGAGCCTGGAGCTCGTCATCAATGAGCAGGTGAGGGGGGGGAGCTCGTCATCAATGAGCAGGTGGGGGGGGGGCGGAGCGGAGCTCGTGGCAGGTGAGGGGGGGGGGCTCGTCATCAATGAGCAGGTGAGGGGGGGCGGAGCCTGGAGCTCGTCATCAATGAGCAGGTGAGGGGGGCGGAGCCTGGAGCTCGTCATCAATGAGCAGGTGAGGGGGGGGGCGGAGCCTGGAGCTCGTCATCAATGAGCAGGTGAGGGGGGGGCGGAGCCTGGAGCTCGTCATCAATGAGCAGGTGAGGGGGGGGGGCGGAGCCTGGAGCTCGTCATCAATGAGCAGGTGAGGGGGGGGGTCATCAATGAGCAGGTGAGGGGGGGGGCGGAGCTCGTCATCAATGGCAGGTGAGGGGGGGGCTGGAGCTCGTCATCAATGAGCAGGTGAGGGGGGGCGGAGCCTGGAGCTCGTCATCCATGAGCAGGTGAGGGGGGGGCGGAGCCTGGAGCTCGTCATCAATGAGCAGGTGAGGGGGGGGGCGGAGCCTGGAGCTCGTCATCAATGAGCAGGTGAGGGGGGGTGGGGGGATGGGAGCCTGGAGCTCGTCATCAATGAGCAGGTGAGGGGGGGGGCGGAGCCTGGAGCTCGTCATCAATGAGCAGGTGAGGGGGGGGGCGGAGCCTGGAGCTCGTCATCAATGAGCAGGTGAGGGGGGGGCGGAGCCTGGAGCTCGTCATCAATGAGCAGGTGAGGGGGGGGGCGGAGCCGGGAGCTCGTCATCAATGAGCAGGTGAGGGGGGGTGGGGGCCCTGGAGCTCGTCATCAATGAGCAGGTGAGGGGGGGCGGAGCCTGGAGCTCGTCATCAATGAGCAGGTGAGGGGGGGGGCGGAGCCTGGAGCTCGTCATCAATGAGCAGGTGAGGGGGGGGGGGGGGCGGAGCCTGGAGCTCGTCATCAATGAGCAGGTGAGGGGGGGGCGGAGCCTGGAGCTCGTCATCAATGAGCAGGGGGGGGGGGGGCGGAGCCTGGAGCTCGTCATCAATGAGGGGGGGTGAGCAGGTGATCAATGAGCAGGGAGGGGGGGGGCGGAGCCTGGAGCTCGTCATCAATGAGCAGGTGAGGGGGGGTGGGGGGCGGAGCCTGGAGCTCGTCATCAATGAGCAGGTGAGGGGGGGTGGGGGGATGGGAGCCTGGAGCTCGTCATCAATGAGCAGGTGAGGGGGGGGGCGGAGCCTGGAGCTCGTCATCAATGAGCAGGTGAGGGGGGGGCGGAGCCTGGAGCTCGTCATCAATGAGCAGGTG